CACGAGTCAAACCTATGACCTACTGTTTGAAAACAACATGCTTTATAACGTTAGGTCACCACTACCTCACTTCTTTCGGTAAAAGGTATTACAGTCCCTCAGAGAATGAACAAACTTGTATCCTGATATTTGCTGATATATATATATATATATATATATATATATATATATATATATATGTATATATATATATATATGTATATATATATATATATATATATGCATGCTGATATTTTGTTGTATTCTCTGATGATGAACAGCTGAACGCAGAATAAAGTAACAATAATAAGCTGAATAGCTAGAAGTAAACACTGGTTGTTTTATGTGTTGAATTTGGGAATCCATTTCGGTACAGATTCATGTCTATGGCCTCGAGTTCCACTCTAAATGTGAGAGGGAACGATACTAACCGATTCCCCAGACCGAAGAAGGCGCAGCTGGGTTTGGACCAATACCTTGGCTACAGTTGAACGCCTTAACCGCTGAGCCACCGCTTCCATTAACAATGATAAATGTACCCTGTAAGAGGATAATTTTACATCTGTAATGTGCAGTAATGAAAGTAAGATGTCAATGACCATTGAAAATGGACTGGCTAACAGACACCAATCAGTGAATATGATTTCCTTTCTATTATTGGTTTCTACCCTGGGTTCACCAAGTGATTGCTTGTAATTGTGTTGAATAAGGTATTGTCTGGTGTATTAATCGGGTTTTCTATTATGGTCGTGAATCAAGTATTTCGTATAATGTGATCAAGTCTGTGCATATATAGTGGTAATATTACTATTTGAAAGCAAATATAAGTACAAAAAGGAATCAAAATAAACATGAACCACACAATACGAAAATAAGATTGTGAAGGAATAAAGGAAGGTGAGCGTAATAAAAAACAATAAATAAATAAGTGAATGGAAGTTAAAAAAAATAATATTAATAGGAGCAGTTTAGTCAAGAAATGTACAACCAGGAGGGATTCTTTCACTTAAATAGGTACCTCTTACTTATATAAATAAAGTTCTCGCAGAACCGCCAATAACTTCTATTCCGAGCCATATCCCATAACCTCGCTAACCAGTATCGCATTATCTCCAGGACCGCAACCAGAGCCATGAAAGACCGACAGATGCTAGCCCCGTACGGCTTTTTTTTATAACACGATACCATGTCATACACTGAACACCTCTTCACTTTTCCAAACGGTCACGGCGACGGGAGGATATGCGTAGGCTACTATTATTCGATCATAGGTGTCTTCGAAGCATTACTTGTATATCCTGGGACCATCGAGTAAGTAATGCAGTTGTTAGGAAACGGGTACTAGGTAAGGATGGCAAATCGATTGATGAAGTAGTGAAAATTCATCAGTTGAGATGGCTGGGACACGTGTTACGTATGCCCAACCACCGACTGCCCCGACGTGCGATGTTTTATGGTGTATGAATAGGTTGGAAGATAGCTAGGGGCGGCCAGACCAAAACGTGGCACAAATCCACGAAGTGACTGACAAATGGACTGAGCCATTTTGGTAGGTGTAGACTACCTGGTTGGGATCTGTGAGATGATAGCACTCGATGGTTAGAGACCTTGAATGACATAGCTCAAAACTGCTTTCAATGGAGCAAGTGCATCCACTCTTTGTGTTCTCCCAAATTCTAATGTTTTGAATTCTTCATGTTCCTATCCTTTTTCTCTTTTCAAATTTATTTCACTGGATTATACTCCTTCAATAACATCTTCAAACCCTAATCTTTCCGATTGCTGCTTATACTGTTACTACCTCCACCACTATGGGATTTGAATGGACAACTGCATCTCTGTGCTAATGTGGTATGGCTACTGGAACAGATGTACGTACGTACGGAGTTCTACGTTGTTGCTGACTGACTGACAATGAACTATGTAAGACCTCACCTAGTATCTCATCTGCTCAGGTGATCACAGTTCTTAACAGGATACAAGAAAAAGTACGAGTTCTTAAATAGTATTGATGGATTGTTGTGTAAACTTTATACCACGTTACCCATATCGTCTTCAAATACTGGCTTTCATTGTTGTTAATACACCTTAAAACGACATTTTTAAACCAACAGATTGCCTTGATAGAGGAATTAGGTCAAGGAAAATAAGTATATGGTTAGTAAGTTAGGATGTGAGTTACGCTACCTGCCATTATGTTAGTCATTTAAGATAACTGGGCTATTCACGTAAGGCTAATGCTTTTAGTTACACAACACTATTCAATGGCCCTGATTCTAGCCAACTTTGTGTATATTGATGTTGAGGTATTATATTCATTGATGTGTGATCTAATTCCCACTCAGATCTCAGTGTTATCTCAAAGAAGACCAGCTAATTTTCGTTTCACAATTTCGTGTCATCGGTAATAGATAAAAACAGTGTTTACGGTTTGTGTAAGCCATATCACTTGTTCATTCCCTATTGATTAAAAAAAAATAGTTCGAGAATTTGTTCGTTTATTTGTAGCTACGAATAACTATTTAATAATGTACAAATTCGTAATTGTAGCAATTTATTGTTAGTGTTCATGTAGAATAATGACTACGCACCGATTTGTAAACGCTAATTATTGAACCGCCATATTGTCTTACAGTTAATCTTTAGTCTACTGCTATTCCACGAAGTAGTAGTGATGCATAAAGTAAATGGATATCAAACCAATCATTTATTTACTTCATCATTTATAATAACGATGATTATTAATAGATGAAACAAATTTACATTCACATAATTCTCAAATGACTTTTCTGAAAAACCTTAATTTTGTAAACGTCTTTTGAGATTGTAAGATATGCTACACATAAGTCTTGTTTGAATTCATGATAATATCATTTAGCGAAAATTCCCATCATTTAGCAAATCTTATAGTTTTACACTCACTTGCTCGTTTAACATCCATCTTTTAATATTTAGTTATGAGTTTTCAATAGAACACAAAATTGTGCATTAATTTTTATGCAACTCATTTATGATATAACGAGCGTGTGGAAATTATATTCTAGTTTCCGCGATGTATTACTATACTACGATAATAATACTGATGACCGAGTTTATACTACCACTAGATTAGATACTCGACATGCTATACACGGTTTAGATCATGTTTTATCAGATACCCGATTCACGACCAAAAATAAGGAACCAGAGTAAACGCTAGATAATACTTTATTCCACATAATTAAAGGCAGCTACATTCAGTGAATCCAAAGTAGAAATCAGCAAGAGGAAGAGAAATCACATATTTGATAGACAGTAAGTTGAGTACCTGTTTGCCCACGCTCAGTGGTTAAATATATATATATATATATATATATATATATATATCATGGCGTAAACCAGTTAAAAATCAGAGTCCAGATAAGTGCGTTTAAGAGAACAGCAGTCTGGTACACAGTCACAGCATCAAGAACTAGTCGCGATATAATCAATCTGAATGCAGGCTAGAGTTGCAGAGAAATGACGTCACATAACATGTCGAAGATGTTTGTGCCGATTGTTAGTGCTAACCAGAAACGGGTTGTAGTCTCCACAAAGCTACAGGAGACGGTCGCTGCTATCTGACTTGTGACCAACAAGTCCCTATTGGTCATCTAGGAGACTCTCCTCTGTGTATAGACACCCCATCTGGATACTTAGATTTCCAGCTAATACTACAGTATCTGTCGAACGCGTTTTCTTGAGTAGACCATTTAACTGGTGATAGGCCCCCAAATGCCCTGGTGCGGCCGAGAGGGGGGAGAGTCCGCTCTCCCTATCCAAATGCTCTCACATGGTCACACGTATATAGCCTCTGTCAGGGAAGTCCTACTCACTGCCTTCTCGTGGCCAGGGTGTTGTTTACGAAATTGAGAAGGCGAAAAGAGAATGTCCGGCGCTTTAACCGGACTGGTGGACACGGAAAGTCCACCTAGGGGCGTTGGAAAACCCTCATTCTAAACTAATGGTGCACATGGACTCAAGTATCCTGAGGGAACATATGGCGTATGAACCAATTGTTAGTCACCAGCTACCATGAGACTGCATCTCCTCACGATGCTCCGTTGCTTTATGGATCAGACTTTTAGGTTGAAGGTTCCCGGTGTGGCCCTCTAAGAATACGATCTGCTTTGGTTTGATTGTTCAGGTGTTTTCTCAGTCCTCATACATGGATGTTCACTTTCCATCTCATTTTTGTAAACGACTTCTCTCTGCCTGATGGCATTGAGTAAAACCTCATTACCGGACTCGCTTTTTGAGAGTTTGGGAGGACTCTTAAACATTGTGTTGTACCAGACCATTTGCGTGCTTTTGTGAAATCCTTTAGTTGCCTACAGTCTTCGATATCCTATCAAGTTTTATGTTCTGTCTGTAAGTGTACCATGAATATACGTAGCTGTCCACCTTTAGCCGTTTTTCATAGTCTTTGTATTTGTAAAATTTCTATGTACAATTAAAAGATTTTTAGTATAACTTCTGATTTTGAGGAAAATAAATATTCACTTTGTATATCATCAAAAAAACATACAATTAATAATTTTAAAAGCTTTGATTTTTGAATCTATTTTAAGGATCAGAACAACTTACAGTTATTACTGTTAATAATTGACAATTATTCAACTAATTTATGTCCTAAAAAATCAATTAATACTTCTGTTTTATAGACAACTAACAATATTTGCAGTATGTGTGTAAAATAAAGGAAATTCTTAACTATTAGTTGCTAGTTAGCAGAGATGGATAGTGGCTAGCAGTGGAATCCAGGACGCGCGTTTCGTCCTATTTGGGACTCGTCAGCTGGATGTACCTGCATCTCAGAGTTGATGTTCACTCTGCTAGTAAATTATTTGTTTAATATGTTAATATCTAAAAGTTTGTCTGACATAAGGCGTAAATCTTATCGTGCTGATATAATGTCTGGTGTTAATTTCTCCTTAATTATATGCTTTAATCAAAACGATATATATATATATATGGAACTGGTTGTATTCTTTTATATTTAGATCCTGAATCTGTTGAAATTCAACCTCCTGTTCAGCATAATGTAAATGTATGTTAAAGCACTTTAGAAAAGTGTTAATTTTATTTTAATTTCCAATGTACAATAACTCGTACTTAACCATTTAAAATGATAATAGGAAGTTACGGATGTGTTTTGTGATTTTGTATTAAAATGTTCCGAATAAAGTGTTTCACTAATCGTGAAGAGCGTTTCACAGTAAATGTAATTCTTTTACTAATTTTACATTTATTTAATCTAGTTTGTGGCAAACCGTGTGTATATCTGTAAGAATGATGTTTCAAGTCTTATTGAAAGCTGAGTAATTTAGATAGTTACTCCATCCATCCATAGTTGAATTTTGTGATCATAATTATAAAGAGTAATAACTTTTGACAACTTATCACAATTCATAAGAGCATAAAAAAAGAAGAAAAAATTATTATCTCAGTAGGTAATATATAAGGAGATGCAAAGTAATAAATTGTTCAATTTTCAGATGGAGGTGAAAGACAAGTATGTCTGTGATTGTTATTAATGTATTTGATTTAGTGCCCTTAACTGATTTCTAACATATTGAGAAACACTTCTCAGTTGAATTAGGTGGCTTACACTGTCCTACTTAGTTTACACCAACGCTCAGTGACTTTGGTATTTAGTACGCGTAGATTGGAGACTCCTTATCAATTTTCCAATCTGATTTTACGTCAATCAGAGTTACTTGTTTTAAGAGCTGGTTCGATATGTAGCCCTCAGATGCCCTGGTACGACCAAGGGTGAGGAGATTCCGCTCCCCCTCTCGAAATGCTCTTACATGGCCACGCGTATACAACTACTGCCAGGGAAGTCCTACTCACTGCCTTCTTGCGACATGGGTGTTGCTTACGAAGTTGAGAGGAATAAAGACGAATATCGGGCACCCTAACCGTGTTGGTGGACACGAAAAGTCCACTTAGGGGAGTTGAAACACTCTGATTCCAAACCAGTGGTGCTTATGGGCTCCAGGATTCTGAGGGAACGAATGACTCATGAATCAATTGTTGTTCACCGACTACCATGTGATTGCATCTTCTAACGTTGCTCCGTTGCCTTATGGATCAGACTTTTAGGTTGAAGGCTCCGGGTGTAGCCCCTAAGAAAACCACTTGCTCCGGTCTGTGCACCCGGGCATTATCACTGCCCACATGCAAATCAAGTGACTTGTGTGGCGCATATGTATTCGGTGTCCCTTTCTACCAATATTTATGTGTTCAAATAAATGAATAATTCGATATGTAGAACACCGTATGCTGGTTAATTCAGTCAGTGCAAACTTGAAACCCCATCAGTTTGGCTACCGTCAAGCAAATTTTTAATGTATACTGGAATCAAAATTACCCAGAAAAGTATGTGGGAAGAGTCAGATATGAATCTAATCACTTACATATTTATTGGGTCATAGAGTAAATTTGTATACATAACCACGTATTTTATTAAGGACACCACTCTATATGATCAATGTCGAATCAATTTAAACAGGAAATTAAATGATTTGTCGTTATTTAGACTGTGGTATTGCAAACATATTTGTCTTATACTTCGATAGAGTTATTGGTTATATGTCGCAAAACGTCAGTGGAAACAATCTTTGTGCCTAACCTTCGGTATGTATGAACACTACATATAATGAAAATTACAATTCAAATACATTGATTGTGTCATACCATTCTGAATAGAATTTTCGCATAAGGTCATGACAATAATTATCAAAATTACTTAAACTATATTAACAAGTGTTTTGGATTGTCACTTCTAGCATTCTTATTTTTTAATGGTTACTGACTAACTGTCTTTTATATCCGTATTTATCACAACTCTTTGATAGTTGGACAGGAAATTAGATTTGTGAAATGCACTAGACTCAGCCTTTAAAGACTGTTATCTGTCCTGCAGTTGACACGTCATAATTTCAGCGATCGCATATGTGATATGTTTTGTCGAACTTAGTTGAATCATATTTAGGTCAGTACTGATAAGGTACCCAGGTACGTATAACAGACTATCTACGAGTCTAAGCAAAACAACCAATCATTATCATCCTCGCCCACCTATAAACTTTTTTTCCGATAGCCTATGGCATTTTATTACGTTTATTCTGTGTTCATATTCTGTATATAATTATGTTATCTTATTATACAAAAGTCTATTCATATGGCTAGTGGTTTTATTTATGATTTATAATCGTTCTAGGGACTAAGTCAATATTAACATTTAGTAAATAACCATCGGTCGGTCATGTCGAGAACACTCCATTGGAGCTCCTATACTAGTTAGCTGATACAATCTGTTCGTGTTTGATGCAAAATAGAAATTAATTTTTATGTACTTTTAAAAATGTCCATGAACCAAAGGATTTTGAGTATCTGTAGCTCCATATTGATGGGGCTAAAAAGAGACCCGCATGTTGCGAGATCAGCTCTACAATCGGGGTTGAAAAAGGAAGGAAAGGACTGTTACTCATTCTTAAGTCAGAATAAATATCTTGTTTAGCAGCTTGGGTCTTAGTGACTTATCAAGTAAGGACATGGTTGATGATAACTATTCCTTGACCTATCACCATTTAAAGTTGATAGGAATCGGCTAAATTAGGAACTGATATTTTCGACAGCTGGTTGTAGTAAAAAATGTTCCGCCGCACATTCTAATTCAGATCGCTTAGTTTAGATATCAATGGAAAATTTAGTCTGCTGTTGGATTAGGCGTAAGTCACCCAATCATTTTTCCACTGTAATTTTATGTTGGTTAGTATATATGGTTCCGAAATTATTATTTTTGTCATAACGACTAAGATGTTGACTTATCTACGAATTGTTTAATATATTAAATGTTTAATGATCTGTAGAGATCATTTCGTACCAATAGTTCATGATGCTTGTAAATTATTGTTAGCGGGATGTAGATTTGATTACAGTACGTTCCGTGCAAGATTGTGTTGGGGCACGTTGATTGGTTATTTCCTAACCACTCAGCGCTGGGGGATACTTGGAGAGGACTATAGAATCTTATGTAAAAACTATAATATGATGACGTTTTTCTTATTTTGACCCTTACTTCCATCCAACCTCGTTATTTTGAATATAATTATGTTCTTGTCCAACCGTGTTCTGATTTGAGACTTGTCGAATGAAGTAGTGTCCAAGATTACGAAACAATAAGAGTAGCTGGGTCGTAGTAAGAGAATTGATAACAATTATAGTCTCGTTTATTTCGTATGAGTATGGTATTATGCGGACTAGAAATATAACCATGCTATCTATCCAGTTGTACTATCCCTTAATATCTGTTTAGTTCTTATTGATTGTGTGTGGGGCTTTTCTAAACGTCGGGTTTTAACATCTGTTGTCCCTTGACCACTTCGCTTCAATCCGAAATTTCGGACGTACGTACAGTCACCGTCAATGCAATATTTCATCTTCTTAACCATGCAAAGGTGGTTTAGTAATTAGACCGCTTAGCTTTCATCCATTGGGTCACAGATTCGAACTGCATTTCAACTACTGTTTGAGCATTCGGGTAATAATACTACTCTTGACAAGAACGTCACTCAAAAGTCAGTCGATGAGTAAATCTGTATTTGGCAATTGAGTTACAGTTTATATTTATAGCAATTTTTGTATCGAATTAATAAACTCTGCTTTTGCGTGTCGTATTGTCTTGTACTGTTGTGTACATTTTACAGGATTATGGTTCCATTAACCAACCAACCAGAGATGGCAACTCGTTTGAAGTGAGTCTACCTATTTTGTATTTGTCCTGTAAAATGTAAACCTGTTTAATAAAGTAAATAATATTTTTAGGCATTCGAAAGTATTCATATATAGGTTATCCAAGTTCTGTACTAGATAATTCTTATTATATTTGACGGCTACATTGTTACTCATATATGATGTTCAAAACGACGATTAGGCATATCTGTTATTTAAATACAGAAAGTTCTATTATGTATTATTATTAGCCAGGCTAATTTGTGTACATTAGGTTTTGCCTATACATTAAAAATTGTCATATTCATCCTTCTTTGCACTCAAATGATTCTATGGCCTACTATTTACGCTCAGCAATTACATTCCAATAGGACGAAATTGTTTCATTTCATCGCGATGAGTCATCATCATCTAACAATTGAGTAGAATCCAATCTTTTCTTTATACTAATTTTAGTCGGTTTTTTATATTGATTCTCGTAGAAGTAAATACTTTACAGGTTTTTTCTTGAATAATATAATGGTAATAGTTTCATTTAATCCTTGAAATTTTCAGGATATTACTAAGTAAATCATGACCATATTTTGTTGAAATATATATATATATTTATAATAGTCATTTCATGGTAAAAACAACATTACTGATTGTGAGATGGGATTATGTATCACACGTGAAAACAATAACCTTCACTATATATATTGACACAGATTTTCTAATTTTGTTGTTTTTCTTGTATTGACTTAATTTTCATTGTATTAAGCAAATGAATTCACTTCATTTCAAGTATTGTTGCTTAAGTTGGAATTTATTGTTGTTTATGTATATGCTAGTTTGTTTTCAAAACCACAATTACCAATTAATTATCAACATAAAAATCGAATCTTAATTAACACATCAAATAGAAATGTTTACTTTGCAACATGTTTTGTACGAGATGGACTTCATAGAACTCGTTAGTCAGTCAAGTCGGTCGCTACCCATAAATATGATAACCTCATCCACTCAGAGATAGTCTGAAACCTACTAATACGGCTCAAACGAAATATCGATGACTTCATTAACTGACACCATGTTTTGGTTTGACCACTCTTAGCTTTCTTCTAATCTAGACCTACACAAGGAATCCGAGCGTTCGTTGGTGATACGTAATACATGTCTTAATTACCTCAGTTAGTTCAGATTCATAATCTTGGCAATTGATTTACTATCTTTGCAGAAAAAACTCGAGGATAATTAGGGACTTGATCATCAGTTTGCTCATAACATAATTTAACATGATTGATACCATTAGATGTCTTTGTCAAATGCCACTAATTATCCGTTGTCTTAGATGGAAGTTCTTCGGCTTTGGAAACAGTTTAATGAATAGGTTGATAGAATTTGTCAAATCATTTATTTAGTTTCTTATTTCACAAACTGTCTTACTGTTTCGTTTTTGGACTAATATTTAAAGCTCGTATCCTTTGGTTTAGCATGAAACGACTTCCTAATTGTCTTTTTTTTCCACATCCATTCAAGTGCAGATGCACACTAACATGAGCTGTTGTGTTGTTGTCAGAGTTGAAACGGTTACTTTTAAGTGAGCCAAACTCCTTCGGAGAGTGTTAATGTCACTGATTTGTATCCATCGTTGTGTTGTGATCAGGATGTTTGGCAGTCAGTCAGTCCATCACAGCGTAGAACCTAATAGGTGTGTATGTGAGTTCAAGGTGTCATACTACATAGGTACAGAGAGATGAAATTATCAGGCCTGGCCCCCGAAGAGTAGAGTTATTAATAGTATGAGTGGTGATAGAAAAGATTAAACATCAAGGATACGATTCGAGGTAATATAAATTAATGGAACAAAAGAGATATAGAAAATCCAAAAGTTGAGAATTTCGGGAACGACAAAGGATGAGTGCACTTGCAACATAGCAAACGATTTTGAGCCATATCATTCAAAGTCTCTAACCACTGGTTACGATAACTTCGCTGACCAAGACTAGATCCAACTGCCTGACGACTTAATTTGAGTCTCGATAGAAAAATGAAAGACTCCATCATACTTTCTGATGTGTAATCGTCATATTTTTAACGTGACTTCAGTTTTATGCATGCAGAACGAACTGTGGAAAGATGGAAGCTGGTTAAACTCACCCTGAAAATGCTATCGTAAATCTAATTGTAACACTCTTATATAATGAGACCTTATGAACGAATTTTGCACATATTTAGGTCTTTTGGATCAAGACATGTTTTGCAACTTGAAGTTTGTCGTATAAATTGGTGGTTTTCAGTTGACTTCGTTTTTTGAGTTAAACGTGAAGCTGAAAATCTTTGTCAACACCTAAAGAAATGACCTTAAAAAGCATATCGTCACAAATCTTTTAAATACTAGTTCAGGATTGACCTACCCCAACATTCACGCTAAAATGTGAAATTACTAAATGTCATATTTCCTCCACTCATTTCAGTATTGTGGATCCTAACCGCATATTGGCCAGCAAAATCTTATTGGGGATGAAAGAACTCCCTCGTTATTTGTTAACTTTCCTTACATGTAACGGTCAAGACAGAAATTCTTTTAACTAGTATGCCAAGTTATAGCAGTTCTTCCAACTCTTCGGTTCCAAGGTATAATTGTTGATGATATAGAACGAGACGTTACATATAGCTTATCATGTGCTATGCAAAAATTGCTCACGTAATGAAACAACAGACAAAAATGCTTTGCTGGAATGCGGACTTTTAAACAGAGAGGCACTGAACTGTACATAATGTACTGTAAATATGTTTAGACGTTTGCAAACTTCATGACAGATCATTTTGAAGGGCATGTTAGTAGAAAACCAACACCAGAAGAAATAAATGAAACTGATTTTGAACACAGTAGGACAAGTTTAATTGTTAGAGATTTTCATGATACGAATTTCGTTAGACTTTGATTTCAAACGGGAGAACCTGTGTAAGAACAACTTGTCTGTATACAATTAGTCCTCTGTTCCTGGTTGTCATTACTTGAAAAATACTTAATCTGCAGCTACCAAAACAATTAACAGAAATGGTGTAGTGACAATCTCTAAACACTGCAGTTACTTATACTACTGAGCTGTCGTGACACTATGAGATCGGGGTAACTAATTTTCTATATGCTGCAAGGTACCGAGTATCATTTGGTGTAAGTACCCCACAATCCCCTGGTATGAGCAAAAGTTAGATCTTTTTATTTAGGGACTTTATATGCGATCCGAGGAAATATATATATATATATATATATATATATATATATATATATATATATATTAGTGAAATGAGAGAAAGTTATGTGGTAATTAGAAGCCTAAAATAATCGGGACGACAAAGTGGATGCAGCTGCGACATAGCTAACGATTTTGATCCATATCATTCAAAGTCTCTAAGCATTGGTTACGATAATCATGGGATCCGCAACCAGATAGTCTACATCTATTAGGATGGCTTAGTCCAATTGTCATTAGCTTCGCAGACTGATTCCATATTTCGGTTTGGCCGTCTCTAATTTTCTTCTAGCCTTCTACACCAGAAAACAGCCTGTCGATGTAGGTGGTGGTTGGGTATAAGTAACATTTTCCAACCACCTCAGGTGATGGATATTCACTACCTGATCAATCGGTTTCGCATACTTATTTAGCACTCTATTCCTAACCCATGCCTGAACACCGATTACCACGATGAGCTAAGCTGACTAGTGTAGGGGATGGTTGGAAGAGAGTTAGGTGCGGCCAAACCAAACATGGCATCAGTGCTTGAAGTCACTAACTTCCAGTCTGAGCCATGTTGTTAGATGCAGGCTATCTGGTTAGGGTCCGCGTGACTATCGTAACCAATGGTTGGAGACTCTAGGTGACATAGCTCAGAATCGATCACAATGGCGTAGGTGTACACACTCTTCATCTTCCCTTAACCCTTGAGATTAAAAGTGCTTCATATCTTTCTTTCTTCCTATACTATATCCTTATATACAACCTATCTTTTATATACTACCACCACTAAATTAACTATTTCTATGAATCCGGTGTTCATCTTGTTGTGCTAACGAGGTATGGCAACTTGGACCAATGCATATGTGTGCCTAGTCGTACGTTGTCGCTGACTGACTGACTGAACCCAGGCTTTACTTACTCGGGGGTCACAAAGTACACAAGCAATGCTTCGTAAACACTTATGGTCGAATACTAGTAACCTACGAATAGTCCGATTTTTATTGGGCATGTTTCACACCCACAAGGTGGAACGGAGCGGACTGATGCAAAACAAACTTTCCCTTTGGCTGGAAGACGAATATCTTACCTACACCACAAATGATCCAAGTTGGTGAGAGTCAGTCGAGCTTTCTGAATCTGTGCTGAGACCATCAGTAAAGATGAGACTTCTAAGGTAAATAAAGTAGTCAATACGTTCGACTACTTCATTTTGTATCAATAATTCAGGCATCGATACAAACCAATCCTGTAACACTGATTTTAATTTGGAGGAAGAGAACTTCATCGCAAACATGCTCAAGGTGGTCAGAAGACTGTATTTTTCCAGAGTCTTCACCGAACAGAACTGTATTATCTGCATATTCTAAGTTAACAAATGAATCTTTTGGTAGAAAATCAACCTCTAAAAAGTCAGACGATGAGAGTTTTATCTCCAGAAGCATGTTTATAACAAAGTTAAATAAAAATGGGGTCAGCAGAAGACCATGACGAACACCACTTGAAGTAATTAGATCTGATGTCAGTTCTCCATAAGCTCTGACTCAACCAGCAATGTTCGAGTAGAGAGCCTGAACAAGGTTAATGTGCCTGTTTGGTGCGCCCTTCAATGACGGACAGGGCAACAGAACCTCACGATTAACTGAGTCGAACGCCGCCTTAAGGTCACAGAATGCAACTATTGTCAGACACCGAAAAGTACGTCTGTGTTCTATAATCTGTCGAAGGGTGAATATTTGGTCCGTACATCCACGTCCAGATCTGAAACCAGCCTGGTTTTCTCAGGTTCGTCCTTCACGAGCTCTAGTCAAATGCCAAAGTATTATTGAGGCTGGTATTTTAGACACTATACTATTTTGACTGATTTCTGTGATTGTTACATGGGGATTTTCGTCCTTCCTTGTGGACCGCGATGATCAGCGGTTGAAACTGGTCAGATGGGATTACGTCAAGTTCCTAAATCTAAGCTAAGATCTCACTTAATCTTACTGCTAAAACTGAACCACCATCCTTAAAAATTTCAGGGGTCAGCCCAAGCCCTGGTGTCCTCCTTTGCTTTAGATTACTTATAGCCTTTTCTACCTCACTAAGGGTTGTAGGACTTACACTAGTTTGACATCATGGTTGCTTGGATACGGTGGGTAAATGAGGTGTGACTGAGGGCCAGTTGAACTCCCCCCTAAGGTGTTCTACTCATCGGTCCAATTTCCTGGATTGTTAGTGGATAATAGTCACATCTTTTCCCGAGATAGTCTCACGAACAAATGGATTTTAAATACCTGTTTCCTTGATAAGTCTGAACAATTGTGTACTGTTACCTATCGAAGCTGTCTTCTTCATATCTTCTGTTTTCGTTACCCACCACTGTTTACGATCATTGAGTAGACTTTTTATCAGGTTACGTTTATACTGCCTCCACTCCTCGTCGTGTTCGAAACCAGACATGGTGAGTTTCCGAGAGAACTTATAATTGGGTTCTAAGGCCCAAGGTTGGTATCCATTAGATATAAGTAGTTCTCGGGATAAATTGTTCGTTTGCATGATTATTCAATGCAAAAGTTTTATTTTGACTAATTGATGCATGAGCATTCAAACGTTATCGTTTACACTTTACTAGAGAACAACCAAGAGATAACAATAACTTTTCATTATGACTGACAAAACCGCGAACACCTTGTGTTAGAAGATGTTCTAATTATTTCGGTGAAGTTATTCAAGGTTAAGACATGTTGAATCATAGAACTGAGTGTATAGTCACATTATTCTTAAAATCTGCCTAAGGAAGTACACACATAATTATTGTGATTTGTTTGCCACATACAAGGTTTTATACTCATCTATAAACTGCATTTTGTATCTGCGCTAATGATATAACTCGATGTTTTCTTCTTTAGTCCTGTGGGGTATTTGTACGAACTAATGACCCTTCGTATTTGATTGCCCGCTGATTACGAACTCCAAATATAATACGTTTATTTGTATTCATCTAGTTCTACCTGTCCTAAATTGCACTATATCGGGAATTCCTAATCATCATAGTCTGGTAACGCCCTTGGGACATATTCTGTCGACCAATAATCTCCAACCAACCTTGTCCTGGGCTTTTCTGCTCAGCTGGGAATTTCAACTTGGGGCTTGTCTCATGCTGTTGGTGAGAGGTTTCCATGATCCGAGTCCAACCCACGTCCAACATCTTTTCCCGATTTCCTTTACAAGCGGCAGCTTGCTTGTTATCTTCAATAGTCAGTTATTATTTATGGTATCTGACTAACGAATTGTATGTAGACTGCTATTTCTAACTATCTGTACCTTATTTGATAAGGTTGTGGTATTTCTCCATTTCTTGGCTCCGTACGATAGGACTGTTTTGACGTTCTACACGTTGAAAATTCTGACTGATCTTTAATCATAGTTCTGTGGAGTCCCAAATATTTCTCGATTGCAGGAAGCACTTCATATATCTACATCTTGTTTTTGGCACGATCAGGTCATGTCTTTTCATTTCTGTGGCTATTTGAATGACTCTCTCGGTCTCCCACATTATCTAAACATTCCATGTATCTACATCTATGTTGCTCGGATTGTCGGAAGGCAGATCGGCCTAGGGTTTTTTGAAGAATCCAGACTTTCACAGTGAGACGCCATAACTCTTCTATGAGAGGATCCTTCAACTCCCAAGACAGTTTTTAAACAAAATAATTGATATACTTCAGTCGGAAATTTTTACCAGTGTTCTTTTACACGAGGTATGGTTTCTGACCCTACACCTAACCGTCCTCAGTTACCCATGCTGGCGACTGTTACAAGCTCCTGAGGTTTGCTGGATGGAGTTACATTACCTGACTGTTCAGAGTTAAAACGTTTGTGAGGGTTTTCAACCAGTGGTCAAAAACAAGCTAGTTTGATCTACAAAATTCACTGTTTAGGGCGCATAAGCTCACACGAATAGTTAGTAGGACAAGAAATAGATGAGTGTACCATTGAGACCCGCTTCAAGTTCTTCTCAACATGATATCATTCTAAAATCAGTTTGTTTCGTATTAGTTCTTACTAGCAATCCATAGATTTTACATTTCTAACCCTAATGATTGAATAAGTATTAGTTTGGATCCGATGTTTTTGGTTTAGTATACTTTCTATTTTCTTTCCGCACATACACGCACAAGGTAGATGTTCTCACCAAGAAAGAAAGTCAATCAGTCAGTTACAACGTAGAACTTCGTACGTACGTACGTACATCAGTTCGAGTTGCCATACCACCGTTGCTGCGACCTTGACGTGGTGGTCGGGCTTGCCTATCGTGATGAAGCAATCGAGCTATGCTGGCTGGAACAATCGTTCCTCGAGGTCCTACCATGTCAGACAGGTCGGTTGAAGAGCGGTAAGACTAAAAGCAGCGATCCCAAGGTCCGAAGGCGAAGTCGTACTGCCGACTGTACAGAGGTGTGACGTCAGTAAGGTGTTTCCTTCAGACAACCAGCATGACAACGATGCTGCCTTCCCACAAGGAGGGGTGGGGTTAGAAAAGGCCGACCCTAAAAATGCACACCTCACCTTATCCCACGGATTTCCGTCTCCGGCGGTAAGGACTTTTGAAGAACGGAGCTAACACGTCAAAAGTCCCCCACAAAAAGGCCGTGCGTGACCGGCCTCAAGCAGTTGTCCCTTGGGTAATGCGGTCATGCTCCCAGGTTGTTAAGACCAATACTAATCCAACTTCTTTTTCATGTCCCTCAAGAAATACCCTTCCACGGTATGGGCAGCCGGGAAGTGATATTAGCCCTCATACCCGTAACAGCACACGAGACCAAGTTGGTCACTTTCAAATCCTTCCAAGAAAGAAATGTCATCATCATAGTAAAAACTAGTTAAGATCGTCTAAGTTGTCCATTTTTTTTTTAAATCTAAAACTTTCGTGGTAACTATTGATGGCTCGAATGAGAACGTCTACGAACCCCTAGTTAGAAGCCATGAAATTAGTCATGGGTAGAGTGAAACGAATGCTCATCGGATGACACTAGACGATACTCACGACATATCTCATATTGATAAGAGTTACGAACTATGAACCATTAAGTTGGAATATAATGATTCAAGAATATCGTGGTCATCACGAGACTTGGAAGCCGATCGATCTGATCCTGTGTCAGTCGATAATGCATACTGTGATATGTTCTCTCAAGGTTGGACAAAGTGTATACTAATTATTCATCAATTTCCAGTAGCGTTGTAACAGGTATCGGTGATGAAAACTACATTCGAATTATATGAATCTCGATAGGACCTCAAATTGGTATAGATATTTGCGGCTGCGAACCATATTGCCTGGTATTGATTTCTTCTAGTATCACAATTTTTGACTGAATGTACAGCGTGCATGAATCCAACAAAGTATTATGCTATTGTTTTAATCGTCTATTAAAAGAATAATCTCTGTCTTAGTGTTGTGTAGTATCTCATCTGTGCTTTTTTCTTCCACACTTCTTTTCGATTGATGATAACTATCGTATGGTTTCCTTGTTGTTGCCTATCATTTTAGGAATCGCTTGGAACAACTAGTTCACAAAGTAATATTTTAATACCAACAAAAAAGAACTCTTCATCCTTCCTGTCAGCATTAAAAGTACCTGTAAGTTTGTGTTTGCAGTGAGCACGTAATTTACTAAAAGGAATGGCCTTTTCATGTATTCCATTCAGCATACTGTTGTTTTGTAAAACATTCTCTTTATGTTTCTTTAAACTTCACATTTTAATTATTGTTTATAGTACTGCTTGTCATATCAGTTGAAGAGCCACTGAACACTGTGAAATTGATGACGTGATTGCTTTTTCACTGAATCCTGATTCTTCAATAATATGTGTTTTGAAATCCGTTCAATACCAAACTCGGTCATTCAGTTTCCGAAGTTAGAACTTAACCTTTGTGTTTAAGTTTGTGTTTTGTGATAGACTTCGTGAGAACTCGATTTTTTTGCTAAATATTCCTTAATGTGCTCTCAACTCAATATCCATTCTGCTGTATCTGTTAACAGACTTTGTTTGTAAAATGTGTTCTAGGCATTTTAATCCATTCATTTCCATCCCCAGTGGTTAGGCCTTTCTAAGTACGGAGCTGACACACCGAATATTCCTAATATTAAGACCGTATGTGTCCGGTCTCAAGCAGTTGTTTCTTGGGCTATTTCGTCACGTACCCAGGTTTTCATGTCCTTTAATACAGTTTTCTTTTCAGGTACCCCAAGAAAAAAGGTATCCTTACATGGTGTGGCCCACGTGAATTCTTTGTGTCCCCAGCATACACTATCAGAACAACATGCCGATTTACATTTCTGACTCACCGGTGACAGGACCACAACCTACTACAAATATGAAGTCACAATATGTATATAACTAGGTTATTTGCAGTACAAAAATGTATAGCAACCACGTAATTAATTGACCGTATACTATGAACAACGATAAAAGAGATATCTGCGAGAGAATTACGTGAAACCTTATAATTAGAGCATTATATAGAAATCTTGGACAACATATTCAATGCATACCCAGTAAAATGTATATAATAATCCACGGTAGCATAATCTACATAGTTCCACCTATTCACTCTTATCTAAATTAACTTTTGCAGTTTGTTTACTTTATCCTTTCTTTTTTTCTACAACAAGCTTTCTCTCACTTCATCTCTTTCAGGGTGTTATTGAATACTCATTGACTTTATTCTTCTCTAAGCTAGTTTCATATACTTTCCTATTTTGGTTACCTATGTATATACGTGAAGCAGGCGGTTTCAACCCATCATCATCAGCTGATTTATCAGCTGTTTTTGATTTAGGTGGAATACTCGGTGGAATTATCGCTGGTTACGTATCCGATAGTACTGGATCAAGCGCTATTACCTGTGTGGTAATGATTGCTTTGTCGATACCTACAGTAAGAAATTTAAGATAATGTTTATTCAGTTTTGTTTAACTTTTTTTTCAGTTTTGTATTGAAGGAAATAGAAAATTGATATGTTTATGTGTATGTGAAAACAAAAGATAGGGACATTCAGAATATATATTTAAGTAGAAACAAAGTGTGTAATTTAAGTGAATTTTGTTTAAGTATATTTACAATGGGTGTGGTGAACATAAAATATCTGCTAACATAAATCTTCAATGGTATTTTTTCCAGTGAAGACACTTAGGTTATAAATGATGATGCGATGCGGTTGATTTCAATAGTTGAAAGAAAGTATGCATAGCATTGGTTCGATATTAAAAGACTGATTAGACTTTCTCTTTCTCTCTCTCTCTGTATATTCCTAATATTCAAATTTTCGAAAGTTGCAGAAATCGTTAGTTTTATTCAATGGAGCCAAGCAATTTGGGTAAATAAATATAATATTTTTCGAAAATCATTATCACAGCTATTTTTGATTTCACCAGATTCTTTACTACTTGTAATATTCTTTTTAAGAATAAATAAAGATGGCATTCTTCAAGAGAGATAGTATCCATGATCATTTTTTGTAAAGGCTTGCGAACGCATCCATAATGTTCTGAACACAAATAGCTTATCTATCTAATTTGTCATACTTGATATAAACTTACTTCGGCTTGTCACCCCTCGTGGAGGAGTGTTGGTTGCCGACTGACTTTGTTCTGGGTTCGTCTTTTCAGTTGTTTTCTATTACTATTCACTCTTTTGTTGTCTGCTTCCAATTCTTGACATATATTCTTAGGTCTTCCTCTCTTCTTTCCTTTAGGACTCCATGTTATGACTTGCCTCGTGAACTTTATATCATGATATGTATGCATAGGAAAGTCATCAAGAAAAAGTTTAAAATTATTGATACCAACGATAGTTAAAAGATGAAAAGCACAACTAAAAATATGCAATAAGAGTTTCAAAATATATCATGACGTTGGAGATTTTGTAAATTGTGAAATCACTATTTGTTTAAATGTTAGTTCAAACAGGAAGCCTAAGATTCTTCATTAAGGAAAGGCTTTCATTAATATCAACCTTTAGTTTTGATTTCATCATCTTCGATTTCCATCTTTCCTACCTCAATTCAACCGAAAGAGCATGTTGATATAAATAACGATTGGATTTACTTGACACATCTTCTCTATCGGAGTAAAAGTCTTATATTGTTCATATGTTTCCAACATTTTGTGGTCATCAGATAATACCAAATAAAGTCTAAGCTTAAAAACATGATATGACACTATCTTCGTTAGGGCTATTGATATTTACTGCCAGAATCACGAAACAGTTATTGACTTTTTCGTCGTTCTCGTTTGATTTTAGACTTTCGATATAAGACAAAATCTGCGTAACTATTATCTTCGATTTCGTTATTCATTACCGTTTTTCATTCACTTCCTCCTTCTTATCCAACTTAGTTATATCTGTACTCAGTCGTTGGATTTCGTTCTTTAGCTCATTGTATCGGTAAGTTGAGGAAGTTTAGGTAGTTCGATTTATTTCTGTGTATATTTGCAATTTATTTGTAGCTAAGTTTTGGGAAACTCCGCCTGTAGCTCTTCTACAGTTACTGCCGGCCCCAAGTCCGGGTAAAGGAAGAGGGTTGGGCATGGGGTTAGCGACCCCATCCCGTGGAAAAACTAATTCGCTAACCAGAGAAGATAATCCAAATAATTTAAACTCTGCCATGGGAGTTGAAGGAATAATTATGACGCCACATGATGAAAGCCGAGATTCTTCGGAAGTCACTAGGCCAATTCCCCTTCTAACAACCATAGCAACACTCTTTATAGGTACATAGAACGTCCGAACAATGTGGGAGACCGGGAAGACCAGCCAAATAGCAATGGAAATGAGGAGATACAAATTGGCAGTACTCGGAATCAGCGAAACCCATTGGACACAAGCTGAACATCAAATTCTAGGTACGGAAGAGATGCTTCTGTACTCCGGTCACGAAGGGGAAAATGCTCCACACACTCAAGGAGTTGCCCTAATGTTGTCTAAAGAAGCACGAGATGCACTTGTTGGATGGGAATCTCATGAACCCAGGATCATCTAAGCATCATTCAAAACAAAGAAGAAGAGAATCACAATGAATGTTATCCAATGTTATGCACCCACCGATGATAGCAACGACGACGATAAAGATCAGTTCTACTCGAGGCTGCAGTCAATCATAGCTAAGTGCTCAGGAAAGGACTTCACCATCCTGATGGGAGACCTAAATGCTAAAGTTGGAGTGGACAACACAGGATATGAAAATGTAATTGGACGACATGGACTAGGAGAGAGAAATGAAAATGGGGAAAGATTTGCAAATCTATGTGCATTCGACGAATTAGTTATAGATGGCACAATATTTCCACACAAACGCATACACAAAGCTACATGGATCTCGCCGGCCCACACCCCAGAGAACTAGATAGATCATATTTGTATCAACAAAGAATTCTGAAGGACAATGGAAGATGTGAGAACCCGGAGAGAAGCTGACATAGCTTCAGATCACCACCTGGTTGTGGCCAAGATGAGACTGAAGCTAAAGAAACACTGAACAACTGGGGGAACAGCATTACAAAGGTTCAATACAGCTTTCCTTCGAGATACTGGTAAGCTCAACGAATTCAAGATAACTCTCAACAACAAGTTCCAAGCTTTACGGGATCTACTGGAAGAACAAAAAACTACAATAAAGGACAACTGGAAAGGGATCAAAGAAGCGCTAACTTCAACGTGTCAGGAGGTTCTGGGTCGCAAGAAACATCATCATAAGGAATGGATCGCTATGGGAACCCTGGACAAGATTGAAGAAAGGAAGAACAAGAAGACAGCAATGAACAACAGTCGAACACAAGCAGAGAAAGTCAAGGCACAAGCAGACTACGCAGAAGCAAACAAGGAAGTGAAGAAAAGCATTGAAGTCGACAAGCAGAAATACATGGAAGGACTAGCAACGATTGCGGAAAAAGCTGCAAGGGAAGGGAATATAAAACAACTATATGATACAACGAGGAAACTAGCAGGTAAATGTAGTAAACCAGAGAGACCAGTCAAGGACAAAGAAGAGAAGACAATCACGAAGTTTCAAGAACAGAGGAAAAGGTGGGTAGAATACTTCGACGAACTGTTGGATAGACCAGCCCCTTTGAATCCGCCGGACATCGAAGCAGCACACACAAGCCTTCCTATATCTGTCACTCCACCAACGACCGAAGAAAACAAGATGGCCGTCAGACAAATCGAGAATGGGAAAGCGGCAGGACCTGATAATATACCAGCTGAAGCATTGAAGTAACTGCAAAGATGTTTCACCTTCTATTCAAGAAGATTTGGGAGGAAGAACAAGTGCCACCGACAGACTGAAAAGAAGGATGCCACATCAAAATGCCAACGAAAGGAGGTCTGAGCAAAAATGTGAGAACTACAGAGGCATCAGTCTTCTGTCAGTACCAGGAAACTTTTTCAACAGAGTGTTGCTGAACCGGATGAAAGACGTAGTAGACACTTGACTTCGAGATCAACAGGCTGGATTCCGTAAGGATTGGTCGTGCATAGACCAAATTGTGACACTGCGGGTCATCGTTGAACAAACAGTTGAGTGGAATTCGTCACTATGCATCAACTTTGTTGACTATTAGAAGGCGTTCGACAGTGTGGATAGGAGAACATTATGGAAACCTCTTCGACACTATGGAGTTCCTCAGAAGATTGTTAACATTAGTGTAGCAACAGCCTTTGCATCAATAGGCCTCAACATACACAAGGGAAAAAGCAAGATTCTCAAATACAACACGGAGAACACCAACCCAATCACTTGATGGCCAAACTCTGGAAGAGGTGGAAACATTCACGTACCTGGAGAGCATCGTTGATAAACAAGGAGGATCGGATGCAGATGTAAAAGCGAGGATCGGTAAGGTAAGGGCAGCATTTCTACAACTGAAGAACATGTGGAACTTTAAACAACCGTCAACTAACTTCAAAGTGAGAATCTTCAATACGAACGTCAAGGCAGTCCTACTGTACAGAGCTGAAACGGAGAACTACTACATCCATCGTCAAGAAGGTACAAGTATTTGTAAATAGTTTTTTACTCAAAATACACTGGCCGGATGCTATCATCAACAGCGTTTTATGGGAGAGGATAAACCAGCTTCCAGCTGAAGAGGAAATTAGGAAAAGATGTTGGAAGTGGATCGGACATACATTGAGGAAATCACCAAACTGAATCACGAGGCGATCCCCAACTTCGTATCCAGAAGGAAAGAGTAAAAAAGGAAGGCCAAATAACACATTACGCCGTGAAATAGAAGCAAACATGAAAAGAATGAATGTTGACTGGAAAGGATTGCCCAGGACAGGGTTGGATGGAGAATGATGGTGTGCGGCTTAGGCTTCTCCACCAGGGGTAACAGGCGTAGGTAAGTAAACTAAAAGTTGTCATATCAGTTGAAGAGCCACTGAACACTGTGAAATTGATGACGTGATTGCTTTTTCACTGAATCCTGATTCTTCAATAATATGTGTTTTGGAATCCGTTCAATACCAAACTCGGTCATTCAGTTTCCGAAGTTAGAACTTAACCTTTGTGTTTAAGTTTGTGTTTTGTGATAGACTTCGTGAGAACTCGATTTTTTTGCTAAATATTCCTTAATGTGCTCTCAACTCAATATCCATTCTGCTGTATCTGTTAACAGACTTTGTTTGTAAAATGTGTTCTAGGCATTTTAATCCATTCATTTCCATCCCCAGTGGTTAGGCCTTTCTAAGTACGGAGCTGACACACCGAATATTCCTAATATTAAGACCGTATGTGTCCGGTCTCAAGCAGTTGTTTCTTGGGCTATTTCGTCACGTACCCAGGTTTTCATGTCCTTTAATACAGTTTTCTTTTCAGGTACCCCAAGAAAAAAGGTATCCTTACATGGTGTGGCCCACGTGAATTCTTTGTGTCCCCAGCATACACTATCAGAACAACATGCCGATTTACATTTCTGACTCACCGGTGACAGGACCACAACCTACTACAAATATGAAGTCACAATATGTATATAACTAGGTTATTTGCAGTACAAAAATGTATAGCAACCACGTAATTAATTGACCGTATACTATGAACAACGATAAAAGAGATATTATCTGCGAGCGAATTACGTGAAACCTTATAATTAGAGCATTATATAGAAATCTTGGACAACATATTCAATGCATACCCAGTAAAATGTATATAGTAATCCACGGTAGCATAATCTACATAGTTCCACCTATTCAGTCATAATCTAAGGGAAAACTAATATGTATTAGATTTCTAGCATGTTTTGTGAGAAATCTATTTCGCCGCGATGTTCATTGGTGACCATTTCAACTGTTTGCACATTATCTCTTACCTACTGAGATTTAGACAATCAAGTATTATTATCATCAATCAATTGTTCAAAATTGTAAATGGAACTGGTTCTGTTATTAGTTTTATTATACTTAACAGATCCTTTAAAAAATATACTTTTCTAATGACTCATTTTTACATTATTTTAGGTTTATTAATCCCATTAGGCTCGTTTGTTAATGGTCCTTATAGTTTGATTACGACGGCAGTTTCAGCTGATCTAGGTACTCATCCTTCATTGTCTAGAAATTCTCGTGCATTGGCTACAGTAACAGGTATTATTGATGGAACAGGTTCAGTTGGTACGTTGTGTTAACAATATTCATTTCATGTTACACTTGGTTTTACTCATAGTTGCGGTTATTTATTCTTGATCCTTTGATGAGAAAAATGTTATCAGTATATTTATAAAGCTTACAAATCCGTAAAAATGTAGTTCAAATAATCTAACCTATCGACTGTGGAAATTTGTGTGCCATATGTTAAATGGAGTCGAAATATCTAACAGTTTCTATATTTTATTGGTAACTCTAAGTAAATCGGTCCAATGATTAATTAGTATTCTTAATATACAATAATATAATATTATCTGTCATTTGTTAATCATAAGTTTATATCAGACGTTTTATTGTCTGTTTGGAACCGGTGAATAACCAAATTATTGTATCTTCTGGTAGGTTTTTGCACAAATTAATTATTGAATTTGTAATATCAAGTGAAGAAAACTATTTACTCTTAAAATGTGAATTGAATCCTTACTTATTACCTCAACTTTTGTATTGTATTTTTGAAGGTTACGTTTCCTTTTTTCACAATCTTTCATGTTCATTTATCCCTTTCTTTATCTCTTTGTTTAAGATAGAAATATTTTATAATTGATCTGTTCAGCTTTAATCTCGTTATTGTAGTCTGATGTTGTTTACTATATCTATGCTATTCATTATACTTTTTATTGATTAGTTAAGAACTTTGTTTTCGTAATGTTGTATGCAACTGTAGCTGAGTGCAAAGCGACAAATAACGACAACAGTTATTTCATGCGGAGTCGTTAATGAACAAAAAGGTGTTGTTAATAATTCCTAGTATCATTTATTTTCAAAAAATGTTGAATCACTAAACTGTACTGTCTCATCTTAGTAGCGTGTGCTGATTAATGTTATATCTGGCGTCGACTCTGTTTTATCTATTTTCTTACTGCTTAAAGTTAGAAACAAGAACCACTGCAGTCCTCACGACGTGAAGTCATAACACAAAGAATAAAGACTGATGCAAATGAAGATTTATTGACTCTTCTAAAATTCATCCTCAAAACATGTCAAAAATCACGTCATCATTAAATTAAATTGCTATGTCAGCATCGCCTAGTACTTATACTTAAAAACGGGTAACTAAGACAATTCCCTTGACTCCATGTAAGAACAAGTAAGACTTGTACAAATGGAAATTTTTCACTCCAAAAACACCACAACTAGTCGAAAATACACTCATTTATATATTGATTTGTACACCCATGTGATTGTCGATTCAAAAAAGTCACACATGAAATTATAATAAAATAGCATGGTGCATGTTTTGCCGAACATAGTTCATGTTGATTCAGTACAACGAATATCATATCTTCAATAAAATAGTCTACTAAAAATAAAACAAATATTACACTGACCAAAAAATGGAAGTATTGTTGAGTAAGAATCACAATGTGTCGAAAATGTAATTTTACTTTTTCATCCCGTTATGTTACAAGTACACTCATTTATAGACTAATTTCACACACACTTGGTGATTAGTTAGTATTTGATTGAGATCATGAACCGATTGATGTTAGACCACCATTGAAAACCTGAAGGCACTGAACGACCGTTTCGTCCCATTGTGGGGCTCCTCAGCAGTGCGCACTCACGATCGCACTCTCAGTATTCGAACACAGGGCCTTCGGTCTCGCGCACGAATGCTTAACCTCTTGATCACTAAGACGGCATCCAACGGTGTTAATGTTCATGATCTCAATCAAAAACATGATAATCTCCACAACCCCATACTGATAATTTCTATGTATTCACTAGCGACTAGCTTCGTGAGGGGATTCTCGGAGTTCTAGTTAGAAGCCGTGACCGGTGGAGTTAATCCGTTTCTGGTAGAGACAGGCATCTACCTCAGTACAATGGAAGATGGTCGCGCGATCCCGTGGATTGGTTGAGGTTAGATGTTACCGTTGGATGCCGGCTCGGTGGTTTAAAGATAGAGCGTTCGCGCGAGAGACCAAAGGCCATGTGTTCCAATCCCGCGATCAGGATCGTGGATGCTCACTGCTGAGGAGTCCCACAATAGGACAAAACAGCCGTCCACTGCTTCCAGGTTTTCAATGGTGGTCTAACACCAATCAGTTCATGATCTCAATCAAAAACATAATAATCTTGACAACTCCATACTGATGATTAGATAGTAAATGAAATGATACACAGGGTGACTGTGAAACACATATGAAGTTAACACCTGTCATACTGAACAAAATTTATACCTCTTTAGTACAAACATCTTACCCTGAAATAACGTTACACTGGGAAGTACGAAACCAATGTTGTACTGACTAAAATGTTACACTGAGAAATAAATCTATGTCAAAATGTCAGACTTATGTCACAAACTGTTACACTGAGTTAGGGGAAACGTAAACTTAACGTGTTATCCTGATTTATCAGTCACCACCGAACTTAAATGTACACAAATAGAGCAGTTGATTTCTTCAGCTCACTGATTTTCTTCGCTTTATTATACAAGATCATTGATGAGATTTCATTGGAGAAGGGGATAAAATGTTAGATTCAGATTTCAAGCATGTTATATGTCATAAACGGGTTGCATATGTAAGAATGTTAAGTGAAATGTTGTATGCTTATTTTGTGCTTGTATTTCTGAAGGATTTAAATGTTACATGCCATAAACGTTTGTACGTTGTGTCTGTTTAATTATTACTGCGACGACACGATATCTCTCTTATAGTTCAGTAAATAGTGTATTTTGAAGTAAAGTCTGGTATTTTCAGATAGAAGGGAGTGACGCCATCAGAAAAAAATAGTTCATTATGAACTGCTTTATTCAATAGATTACTTTTTACTCTTGTTTTATAAACGGGAAGACTAATAAAGATTAGTGGATGAACTTTTAGCTAAGTGTAGATTTTCTGGATAGGAGGGGGTTACATGTTTCTCAAACCTGTAAAAATAGCTTATAAGATGATCACGGTTTTAGTGGAATCCATATTAAACAAAGATGAAGTGCTTGTTGATGATTGTAAACCAACGACTATTTATGGTTAGCGACTCACTGATCTATCTTGACATCGCCTACATTAATAACGCGAATCCACTCATTATTTATTGTCCTGTAGTTCCTAAATGTCCTTTCTTTTTAGTCTTTTTTCTACATGTTTTCACTCTTTTTGCATTCGATCTTTAATTGGTTTCCTATTGTTGTATCGTTTTAAGGGGATGATTATACTTGTGGTTAATCTTACATTGATATCTGTTCATCACATTGAATATGCATTTAAATATCAAATGTTCATGGTATTCGAATGTTTAACTAGTCTGCATACTGTATTGAAAGAATGATAAAATGATACCGTTAAGAGTGAAGGAATAAGTTATTTCATAATTGGTACATCTAAGCAGCTGCAAATTGATTCTAGCCACTTTTTAGTTAAAACTGCTTGAGAAGTTTAACCGTTAGTTTCCTTACTAACAGAACTTATTTGGTAACATTGAAGAACAGGGTCTTAAGCTGTTTATTGTTAGATTGTGTTTTATTATTTTTTGTCGACTACATTATGATCGAAAAATAAGGATGCGAATGAAATCTAGGTTAAACTATACTATACCGATGATCTTAGGTAGTTTTTAGGAGTGACCTTGAGATCAACCCATTATAATGCGGCCTTTGTGAAAGAATTCTATATTACAGAATGATAAAATTACAAAGGGTTACATATTTTAACACGAATAATAAGCTTGCTAGGGCTGACTATCGGTAACTTAGACTGAAGTTCAGTACCATAACCTTAACTCGTATTCCTAACACTTCCACAAAAACATCCTGTCCTTCCACGTTCCATAATAGTTGTCATAATCATTACTTTTAACAACCATTTATTTTCACTGACGTTTTAGATTTGTTCCAATATTCTAAATTGACTGTCTTAATTTTGGAACGACATATACAAGCGAACAATATTGTTTTATATTCGATCTTCATCAGGCTTTATTCTAATGTACATAGGTATTTATATGAAAATATTAAACCAATGGAGGCAATTCATTAGTCAATGATCGAAATCAGGCAGATTACTTAACTAAATATGATAAGTAAATAATAGGAATTGATAGTAAGAAGACAGGTGTACAAGTAGTTCTAGTCAATGGTCCAATATAAAAAGTAGGTCAAACTTCGATAAATAGTTTTTGAGATAATCGCATAAAATACTTGAGATTACGTAGTAAAAATTGTGTAGACAATTAGAAAAATATAAACAGAATGAGATGAAGAATGAAAAACATACGCGTGATGTCAAAAATCGATAAGGTCGTTCACTAAGTCGTTTTGTTTTCGAAAATACTTATTATAGACAAAATGATAAAATAGGTATGGGCTCACATTTAGGTCCAGTTCTAGTTTATTTCTTCTTAAAAATGTTAAGAAATGAACCACTCATGTAAATTATCAGTTAACTAGATCTACACTTCCGTTACATCAATAACACATTCGTCACCGTAGATCAGAATATTAATAATAAAGAACTCATGAATCAGTTTAATAGCGTACACCTATTAACTTCATGGTCTGATCTGCTCACTCCTAGCTTTTCTCCTGATTTACTCCTATGTTATCCAAGATCTAGCATGGGAGCAGCCAGTAACAAGGCCTGTATAACATTTATACCAGTTATTCCAATTAATAAAAGCTTATGGTTTAAATAATTGACTTACCATTTCCAGTTATATATCATGTGTTATTACTGTCGTCGTTTTACAATCATTGTAACTGTATAAAAGATAAATATTTTGTTTCATCGGTGTCATTACGGGTTATTTTTATTTTTCGCATTCGTTAAATCAGGTGCTGCACTTGGACCTTTACTATGTGGTCTCATGAAACCATATGGTTGGTCTGTCATTATTATTATGCTTATGGTTGCGTTAGCTCTGGCCGCAATCGTAAGTTTTGTTTTCTATTATCTATTCTTTTATCTCTAAACAATCTGCTCTTAAAAAGTGTTATAAGTCTTTTGTTCTGCGGTCCTATCCGTTTACGATATATACGCTTCTTACAGTATACCAAACCCGCTATGCAGATGAGAAGAATGCATGACGAGGATGTTTAATTACCAAGCCGAATAATAATGTGGACAAATCATGAGTAGTTAAACAGTTGTCTTCTATGACCTAGATAGATATATGTGCGCTGAGATCCTTGTCTAAAACATGCTACTTTCCGTCTCACTACTTTTAAGTGATTTCCCACATAGCATTTAAACTTCAAACGACTCTTGACCGTCTAGATTTGGAGAAACCAGGCAAAATCTAGAAATCTCTGTTTATTACCTCCTCCGGAGAAGTTTTTCTGTTTATTTTTAGTTGAAGTAAGGAACATTAACTTTCTGCCTAATGGAGTGTTTAAGGACTTGTGGAAGATTACTCCTCAATTTAATGATTTTCACCCCATATATCTGCCAGAAATTTGTAACTGAGACCTGTCACCCACTATATGAGGTGCAAGAATCCAACCAAGGATCACCAGACGATTCCATTCTGGCGTCTCCTTTCCACCTGTTGTCAAATGCTATTCCTGGTCTTGATTTCTGGCTCCAATTATTGGAGACACATTTTTGGTCTGCTTCTTTTCCTTTTGTCTAGGAGAATATAAGTCAGGGCTTGACTTATGGTTCACCTTGATGGTTTCCGTAAACTGTATCCGGTCCACCTCCAGTTTCTTTTCCCGATTTCCTCCTCAACTGGCAGTTGGTTTGCTATCTGCAATAGTAGGCAGGATTTCCCATTCGGTTTAGCAGCACTGTTGGAAAAGTTTCGTACTGACAGAGGCTTCATTCCAGAACTCTGACCGCAAGGTTCATGCTGTGGGATTTATTACGATTAGTCACAGTATTAGCAAACACCTCGTCAAATTCCATCCAGCTGAAAAAGCAAAGTCAGTAAAATACAGTAGTTGAATTATTTTGGTTACATAACTCCCCATGTTCATAAATTATCTTGTGTCATTTTAAATTAACTTTTGTATTTAGTAGCTAAATCGTACCCCCTTAGGATGGAAAAGTTTACCTGTCAACGTATTTGATGTGATTGGTATTCACAGTTAATTCTTGCATAAGAAATCCGATTACTACTTGTTAATGACAGAATAATGCAACTATCATTGTATATAATTTGCTGGTTTATGATACGACACATGGTCGACTATCCATAGATTCTTTTAGTTCAAATTGTATTGCACTCGATATAATCACATTAGATAGAAAGCATTTACCTCTACGATACGGTCATTTTTCTAAGTTTAGGAATTAGGTAAAATATCTCATTTGAAAAGCCGAAAAATAATGATGACGCATAAGTATGCTTACTTATTACGCTAAGCTTTTATTATTGTCCGGTTTACTGTTGAAGCGGAAATATATTGAATGGTGTTATGACTCGAAAGAGTGTTAGTCATGAGATGTAATTAGATGTTGTTATAAATAAATTACTGCTATTTTAACTTTTATTTGTAACGCCGATGTAACTTGTTTTTTTTGAATAAATCTAATTTCAGTTGCTTTTTCGCATGGTAGCCAGTGAAAGTCGTCAATGTTGCTTCAGTGCTGAACAATCATCATTTTCATCACTGTCGAATGCACCTGATGCTTAAAGTCAGAAATGGTTATTCAGGATTTTTCAAACCTAAGCAAGATTTCAACGAGATTGTGTCGAAATGCTTCGCTAGATTTATAAAATTATTCAATTTTCGTACTGTATGCTCGTGTTTTCTGAAAAAAAGTAATATCATCATTGCTTATTTATCAAAGTTGATTTTACCATTCTGTCGGTTTGTCGATTTATATTCTCTTTAAATTGACAATGTTGTTATCTATTTTGACATTGAGCAAAATTATTTAAGCTTTCTGTACTCAAGAGGTGACAACTGTGATTAAAATAGGGGTAGTTTTTAACCGCAACTACTTATCAACCTAAAACAATATGAAAATGATTTAATAATTAGTTTTAATAACCGTTTTCGATTTATATTTGGCTCAAACTGTTGATTTTTTTATTTAAAATATACATATATATTTTTTTAGTATCATCTATAATTTTATGAGTTTTGTTGTTTTACAAAAACATCCGTTTACACTTGTCTACCCTTTTATTTTCATCTTCGTAACGTAAAATTGTAACAATTTTAATTTGTATTGTTCTTATCTTTCGTCCTATTTTATACTCAAAAGCTTTTTGATCGTTGCAAATTAATAATAGTAATAATAATATGTTTATCATATCGTAAAAACTGAACATTGAATCATGTTTCGTATTAACGGGTTAGTAGTTGTCATCAAAATATAATCAACCAACGTTCACTAATCTATGTATGTATCATAAATTCCTTAAAAAGATCGTCTTCCTTTTGATTTATGATAAATAATATTAAATGTATGAAATTAAGCGCGGTACACTCAGTCAGTCAGTCACAACGTAGAATTTTGTACGTACGTACATCAGTTCGAGTTGCCATATCACATTAACACAGAGATGCAGTTGTCCATTCAAATCCCATAGTGGTGGAAGTAGTAACAGTATAAGCAGCAATCGGAAAGATTAGGGTTTGAAGATGTTATTGAAGGAGTATAACCCAGTGAAATAAATTTGAAAAGAGGAAAAGGATAGGAACATGAAGAATTCAAAACATTAGAATTTGGGAGAACACAAAGAATGAATGCACTTGCTCCATTGAAAGCAGTTTTGAGCCATGTCATTCAAGGTCTCTAACCATCGAGTGCTATCATCTCGCGGATCCCAACCAGGTAGTCTACATGGACTTATGCCACGTTTAGGTCTGGCCGCCCCTAGCTTTCTTCCAACCGCGGTACACTAATTCGATTCAATTTAGAAAAATGTTCTAGTAATCATTTGACCACACAAAATACCAACTGTGTTTTGGCTGAAATATGTACCACATTGTGTAAGTCGGTAACTACTACTGATTGATTACAGGCGGATGATTATAGATACTTAGAAATAATTTATTGGTTTACATTTCAAAGATCCATACAACTGATAAAAGTAGTGTGCACAACCCCCGTACGTTTAATGATATTCCAGATTTTTTTAAAAACAAATTATTTCTGATCCTAACAACGTTCGAACTTCAATCTCATTTAATGGTAGAATGATTACTGCAATCTATTATTATTAAAGAGGCTTTATTATCCATCTTAAGACAATAGTAACCGGTCGAACCGTCCTAAAAATTAATATTGGGTGACAGGTTTGTGTTTAATCTCGACCTTAGATTCTTAGTAGATCGCGTATAACTCGAACGCTAGGACCTTCCCAAGTCGCAAAATGAGAAGACAAGTGGAAGGAATGTTATTACAAACAGTGTCAATTATTGTACAAAACTGTCAGGTATTTATAGTTTTTAGTAAAAATGAAATCAACGTTATAGCTATTCAATCGGCACACCGGGGGTTATTAGCGTTTGTCCAATAGGGAAGCCACACGTAGTGATTCTGGAGTATTCTTCCGATAGCTGATTGCATGGAATATGTTCGGCTCCTTCTGGGCTTCTTAGAGCTTCCTCAATTTCACCTGTGGACCGTCCTCACAATTTGGTAAGTGCAATTTCACAATTACTAATAAATACTCAAAGAGTCAATTTTCTTACTGTTAACGTTCAGATGACACTGAACATTAGCGGTTATGTAGATTTAATTTTGTATTATTCCACCAAGAATAATTTGATAACAATTATATGCAATACATTTCTTTATGAATAGAAAGATTAAGCATTTAATCTTAAGATTATAATGAACTGATCACTATTTGTCTGCTACTTTAATAAGTCTATTAGAGATTCAAAGAAATTGACTAAACTTGAGAAAACAATTGGGTGAAAACTACAAGAGTATTTTGTATTTGGCTATGGATCTCTAAAACTTTATTTTATAAGTAGTCTAGTTTTGCCTTTCTTCGATTTGGTCAGAAGTTTCACTGGGTGACATACTTCATTTAGATTATCAAGTTATAAGTTCTACATAATTTATAAACATGAGAAACAAGCCATGGACAACTAAAATTAGTTAAGGACATTTTTCAGTATACTTCCATTTTCTCACTATGGGTCTACATTAATATAATAACAGTAAATATACCATCAAATTAATGATTACAGAATTCATGCCAATTTACATAGCGTATTCAGTAATAAAAACGATTAAGCATTTAAAGTTCTAATAATCTCACTTGCGTAATAGAATTTACTTACAAGTGTCAGCATATTTAAGCTATTTTTAAAAGAGAAGTCAGCATCGATACGGTGAACAAAGGATGGTAGCAATGTTATCTCACGGACAGATTGTGGTAAATTATTCACGTCTGGAAAATTTACTGGTGATGTAAATCATATAGAAAGAAGGTTTGAATTGTGGTTTTTTCACTAGGGACAAATAGTTACGGATACTGTGACTAGGAGTTTCTGCTTACTGAATTACTTCACTGGATGTAAAGGAAAGTTTATTAAGTATTTCGAAGAAATAGATTAGATCGTTTGGATTCGCTACTCCATAAAGGGTTCAGTCCAAGTTTATTGCACCTAGACTTGTAATTTAAGGTACAATCATTCTCAAGAGTACGAAGCGCAAATCGTCTCTGAACGTATCCCAATCCTAATTTATCCTTTGTGCGTACTCTACTAAGAATAAACAATCAGTGTTTTAGAAGTGATCGAACGTATACTCTATGCATTAAGATACGTGATTCGTTGTTATAAATTATGCAAACCTCAAGACGTGGTACTTATAATGGCAATGTGCCCACCAGGTTATATGGTAAACTCTAAAAGCTGAAAACATGTAGATCAACGATAACCGACTGTATAATATGTCATAATAGAGCTTACATTATGAAAATTTGTACAACACATAAGCAAAAAGCATTGTTTTCATATCAAAACTTCATCAGGTTTTACTTTCATGTAAATGAATATTAATATGAAGATATTAAACCAATCAATTTGTACTTTTTACCTATTATGAACCAATGATTTCTTTGCATTGATGACTGTTTTGATTTAAAATTCCAAATACAGTTCATTTGATCGTGTGATTAAATTGCGTTGTTTCTTGGATTACTACCTTACACTATAATTCAAATCATCACATTGGCGTCGCGATGGAGCCTGTGTTCGAACGGTTGGGTATACATCCAGATTTTAATGCTTTTAAGGATTACATGGAGAGGTTCGAAATCTGGGTTATGACCAAGGAAGATATTGAGGATTTTATTATAGGGGCACATTTCCTTACGTTCATCTGAAAAAAGCATACAGCTTAATAAAGACTTTGGCATTTCCACACAAACCGATTTCACTCCTTTATGCAACTACTGCTGGACCATGTGAAGCATACAAATTTGGAATGCGGTAAAAAGGAAACATTCAATGAAATGACTCGCTAGAACATCAGGAATTCTACTACTTTACTCCGTTGTCCCAGTCCAATACGTAGGCAAGGTTATGCAGATAACAATTCATTGGGTTGTGAAATTTGTAGCTGTAAATAATTCCCCAAAATCAATAGCTCTTTAAGTGTTCGACATTGGATGCTGACCACATTGTTTTAAGTGAACTTGTCTAACTGAAAGCTTTCAGTCATGCATCCGTACCAGATCACGTTACGATCCAGCGTGGGACACAGCTCCTACGTTCACTAGCCAGATTAGAGCAATCGCTTCTCGATATATTGATAACGCATCAAATATATCTTTCCTACCTCTTCGCATCTGACTTTTGATTTTATTTAATTGAGGACGCTTCGAATATAGATGTTACTGGTCGCTAGTTGCAAAACTACAATACCGGTCGTATCTTCAAATTGTTCACGAATATGAGGCAGATGAATGTTTTTCATTCGATTGTTCGGCAGGTGAGTCAAGCCTAGATGAATGTGTTAATTACATATCTAAATGCATATCTATTTGTGTATTCTAATATGAATAACCAAAAGAATATGTATCGCAATTTTTATGCAAGTCAAATTCACATGATGGAATGCCTCAAATTACGTGTCAGTGTTTACCCCCAGATACCCACATATAATAATCAAACTGTGAGCTATAATAAGAAAGTGCAAGCTAGGAACGTCAACGTGGTTATAACATTGCGACGTAAGGACCCAACGTTATTTCGTGGGGGAGGAAAGTGTTGAAAAGTCTATGATGCAAATTCTAGATATCAGTGGTTTCACTACACAACCGACGTGATGATTGTGTACAATACCAGGAATTACGTGAGTCTGTTCCAATTCCGGTTGATAATTCTATTACTAACGAGTGAATTCTAAATAATACAGAGTCTTTATCCAATACACTGTCGGACAGACGTAAGATGAACTTAAGAAGACGTACAATCCATTACAGACAATTTAAGCTGTGACGTATGTGGTGTTTTCGAACGAACCTATGATTCCTCTGCATTGATGACTGCTTGATTTTGAATTCTAAGTGCAATACATTCGTTCGTGCTCATCTTATACTTTTTGATTAAATTGCGTTGTTTCTGGGATTACTAGTTTATACCATAATTCAAATACTCTTAAACATCACAGTAGAGTGAGTCAACGTTCTACTATAACCCACTTTTTCCATGTTGACACA